ACATTTTTTATTGCAAACTTTTCACAGGAAGAACTCAAAATAGTCAATCTTCTTTATGCTTTACTGTTGGATGAAGAGTTGGACACTAGAGGAGCTGGACTTCATAATTTCCTTATGAAAAAAGAGAAAGAAAAAGTAAGTTATCATTTGAAATGCTGTTATTAGGAAAGGTGTAATATTTACAACATAGTTTCTTGTGAAAACTACTCTTTCCAAATCAAAATTTTGTCATAAATTATTTTCTGACAATTTACAGGGTCACTGATTTTTTTCAAGTTGTACAGGTGACATACATTATAAATAACTATGTACAATACATTAGTAAAAATAGCTCACAAGGTTTTCTCTACAAATAAGAAAGTGGCGGTTTCATCAGTGTATATGAATGGCCATTCGGTGCTACTGCTGGCTGAGTTTCATTCCTGGAATCTTTTGGGTTTGCTGTAGGTCAAGACTGCAAGAACAATCCAGATAACAAAAAATAAAATTGAAGCTTACATAGACACCTGTGAAAATGCAATAGCTGAAGAGAAGGTGAGACTCTTGAAAAACACAAGGAGATTCAGAAATTAAAGTTAATGCTGTTTCTTGATAATGAGAAGAACATACTTCATTGTAAGCATGGGATGAGTTCTGTCAACTTGCTGATCACTGAAATTAAGCAGTAAAGAAGAGTATGAGCCTAGAAGAATTTGTTAAATAGTCTAGATTGCCGTGATGCTTGGGAGAGCACCATATTCTGTATTCCTAAGATATGGGCAGGTTGATGCATTTTTTTTTTTTAAATAGCATTGTGGTGACAAGGAAACTTTCTGTTTTCCTCCTAGAATCTGGAATGTGGTTTTACAAAGGAGTTTGCTGACGTACCTGCCAATCTCCTTGATGAACTTTTCCAACTTTACAAACATCGACCAAAGTAAGATACCCTTTGATTCCATCTGTTCAAGTACTAATATTTCTTGTGTGTCAAGAATGAGAATGATATGTCTAAATTATTTTGATAATCAGTAGACTGCCTGCCTTTTATTGGATAATTAACAATGGTTGATTTCCTATCATACAAAGGATTGCTGATTTAAGTACTTGCATTGTGTAAGGTGAATAAGGAAATGTATTTTAAATGCAATTCAAATAATCAGTTCTCAAATACATATATTCTTATATTTTGTAAGATGCAGTCTTACCTATTTGCTTTTTGCCAGAGACTGAGATTATAAAATGTTCAAAGTTTTTTGTGAGCTGCTTTTATGCAAGAGAAAATAAAAAGTAAATACTATGTGTACTGTGTATGTGCACTAGGACCCCAACGACAGAATTTCTCCGTGACACCACTAACCCCTATGGGGATTGTTCAAGCTCAGATGAAGATTACAAAAATACACTTACCCTTTTAATGAAAGCCATGGATGAACTGGATAGTCCTGAGCACATGCCTAATGGTTTAGACCCATCTATATGGGAACACTTTTGTCTAGCTAGACGAAATAAAATGGAGAGTGAGGAGCTGGTATGTAAAATTCTTTATTTTGCCATTATACTACTTGATATTTTCAGGTCTTAAACTTCTATGGAGTTCAAGTATAGGGTTAAGCTAGTGGTGAAATGACAACGCAGCATACATAAGCTGCATTTGAGTTTCAAAGTTGCTTCTGGCCACATTAAATTCAGAACAATAGAAATGTCATCAAGGGAAACCAGCCCTAGTTCTCCTTCAGAGGAAAAAATAGCATATAATTGTGGACGGATTTGATCTGAATGCTTGTGACCTTGATATAATTTCATTTAAAAAAAAAATCCTTTTCTCTATCCATATGAAAATACTGTTATAGTATTTGATTTTCATCATCTGTTGGAGTTGTTCTCTCCTATTAGCATTCTACATTTGCACCAATGCATTCCCTTATTTTTCTAGAACATCAAGAGCAATTCTTAACAAAGGGTGTTGCTGGAAAGTTCTAGCAAGCTATTCGTTCAGTTTAAAAGCACAAAGGTATAAATCTGAATTATCCAGAGATAAATGACCTTTGACCAAGCGAGAAGGAAATGTGATTTCCCTTCAAGTGAATAAACTATGCATTAATGAATAAATTATTTTCTGAGCAGAGTATAGGGACTATAACCTGTATGTCTCATGTGCTCTATTGGGATTCTCAAGATACCAGGCTGCATATTTATACATACATATGTCTTCTTAAGAACTTGTTTTCTCTGTTCTTGAAGAGGCTTGCCCTGACATACTGACAAAGTTGAATAAATTCCGAATGTCATTATATTGCTTGCTTAGGTGAAATGGAAAGCCCTAACACTGGCAGAGATGCAGGCCTTTCTCCAGAGAAGAATAGATGACAATGAGAGGATTAAGTCAGAAATAGAAGACATTTTCCAAGAACTCACTTGGTAATTTTGTTTCTTTTCCTATGTTCAGCTACATTTTAATAGTCCCCCAACACAGAACCGAAAGTTGCATACAGAATTACACAGCTGTGTTCTTCAACACTTTTTTATCTAGGATTCATCTAAGAAACCTACGACATTTCTGAAATTAGGTGTTATTGCAGCACCCGTGAGCAGGCCAAACCAGTCTTAATCTACCATCTAAAGTAACAACATCAGTAAGGATGACAGCATGGTTTTCAATGCAAACTGACTGACCCAAAAGCTGCATCATGCAGTCAGTCCCCCAAAGCCTTCAAGGCCATGTATGATCTAGCTAGCTCAGTTAAATTTTGCTCATGTAGACCTAAAATACAGTGATCACTCCGAATTACAAGATGGTGCTCAGTCACGTGACATCTGATATCACTGAGCTGCTTGAACCTGCAATATTTCATTTTTTCATATATGTGACATAATTTTCACATTCATCGTCATTCAGGAACAAACCCCAGGATAAATTATACGAGAAAATGGGTGCTGGCTGGGAGTCTTTTCCATTTGCTTTTCAATTGTTGTTACGATTTCTGTTCAGTAAGGACACTTTCTGTCAGACCATCTGCTAGAGTATGTTAACTGAATCCCATGGTTGAAAACTTCATATATGGAAATAAGTTGCAAATTCTTTAGTCACTTTGGGTGCAAATAGAAGACAGGCTGTCAAAGAGTGACCTCTACATGAACGTACCACTTACCAGCAATAAATACAAACATTTTGAGAATCGTGGGAGGATTTATATAATCCTGTTGAAATCACTAAACATTGTTTTTGTTTTCTGCCGTTTTAGGCTACAGGAGGGAAAGACGAAACTTCAGTTGAATTTGACTGTCCAGTTTTTGCTAAAACAAGGACAAGTGGAATTAGAAAGTACTGAGATCCCAGACTACACTGATGCCATTCTAATTAAGAAGAATGTTATTGAAGAACTGAATTGCTCTATCATGGTAATTTACATTATCTGAAGGAAATTTAAGCTTTTTAAATAATTGTATTGTCCTTCAGGGGCTCTGCTTTTTCTCCAGTTTGACAACTAGTTTCAATTCATTACTACACACCAGTAGGCTCAATTGTAGTCTAGAAGCTATTAAGAATTCTGTAATGTGTCTTATCATGATGTAAAGATTGCAATACAGACTGATTTCTTGATGTTTGATCAATACAATTCAGATCAATGAAATGGCAACAGTTTTTAGACACCATCACTTACACACACGCTGTAAATAGAAAATGCTAATGTCCTGGGCACCAGTCTGAAAATTCCCTGAAGGCAAACTTGTAGTTAAGAAGCATTTGAACAGTAGCTTACACTAAGATTTTAAAAATTATTACACTTTTTTAATATAAGGTAAAATTGGTGATCCTACTTAAAACAGTTCTTCATACTCTCATTAAATGTTCTTGGGCATTCTAGCTGTACAAAAATTGCTTGTTACTGCTACTGCACAAAGCCTTCAGTAACAACTGGAGAATACCCGATACAGAGGAAGTTTGTATTCTGTAGACTTAAAAAGCCTTTGCATTCTTATAAAAGATAGAAAGATGGAGAGCGAGGTTAGCTGTAATTTTCATCTCCTTCTATGAACTAAGGCTGTGACACAGAGCGTAAAAGGGAACAAAATTCCACAAAAGGCAACCATATGGAGCAAAGTCTGGAAACAGAATGCAGTATAGCATGTTTTCCTTACTAACATTGTAACTTTGGAAGCTTGCCCATCTTGTTGCAAATAATTATTCCATAATCTGTGTGTTAATGAAGATTAATCTCTTTTTTCAGGCTCAGGGAGAAAAAAAAATTGCTAGCATGGTGGAATGTAAAGAATTCTCTAAAGGGATACTTCAGCTGGAATGGGAACACAAGAAGATGAGAATGCAGATAGAAGATCTGAAACAGAAGGCTCGGGATATTGTAACATTACCTATTTCAAAAGATCGTCAGCTAGTGAGTTACTTTCTCTAATTTATATTTTGACGGCAGAAAATTTTGCTGCCTATACCTGCAAGATTGTTTATACCTCTTAAGTCTCTTACTACTATGGAGAAACCTGATACCTAATAAGTCAACAGTTCAGCTTTCAAACAGAAGTTCTACTCTTGAGATTGATCAGTGATGAAGTTGTTTGGGATGTTAAGGTGTAAACAAAGGCAAAATTGGCGTTAACTCTTAGCGTTTCAAAATTGGCACTCAGAGTAAGGAATCAGGATTTTGCAGCCACAAGGAACAGATCTTTTAAATAAAGCACTGTAACTTCCTTTTAAGTGAAAGAGCTGAGGTGCCCCCCTCTGATATCTCACAGAAATACCGTAACTTCTGCTTAGTATACAAAGATTGCGCATTCCTTGATGGTTTTGTGATGATGAGGTGAGGGGCGTAAGGGATGTTGGAGGATGGGTAGGCTAGAGATGTTGCCGTGGGGAGAGTTACAAAGCACAGAGAAAATTAAAAATGTTGGAGAACAGGTAAGGATATTGCAATTCAGTCAAAAGATTAAAAGAAAATCCAAAATGTGTTTTGCTCAGGCTTCATTGTTTTGCTGCTCTCCAAACTGCTTGTTCACTTCTGAATCACGGCCAAGGATCTTCTGTAACTAACACCCCCAAAACACCTTTTCAAAGATGTGATGTGACAACATACTGAGAAGTTCTTGTAGCAAAATTTATCACCAGATTGTTGCCGTTAGCTCAAACTTCATTTAAACTGGTGAGCAGAACTATTGCCCTTCAGAGAGTTAGACTTGCACATAGCAAAGGTGTATACCAGCTTAATCAGAATTTGAATGCTCTGAGGGGCTTGACTTCACTTTTTGAGTAGAAATGTGGGGTTAGTTGGAAAGACAAAGCAACAGAGACCCCAACAATAGGAACAGAAAGAAAGATGGCTTAGATAAATGCATGTGGGCAAGGACCTGAAAGCACATGGAATGAGTGAAAGCAGTTTGGTGCTGTAGGCAAGGAGCCTGCTGGGTCTTTCCTGTTTCTCCTCTTCTAACTAGAGCAGTCCACAAAGTTTTACCTGTCGCTTTGGTGAGACAGTACTCTGGAAGGGTGAATCTACATCTACAGAAACTCGTCTACTGCCCATTATGGGTCATACAGCCTGTTTTACCAGTTGTCATTTGATAAAGAGATATTTTAGTAGCAGTGTGCCCAAGAAAAAATCCTTAAGTTCCCTGAAACCTGAATTACTATACAGATATAAGAACTATAAAAGAATTAAGAATTACTAGGAAGCCACTTGACAGAAAATAATCACTTTCTTTTGCTTCGGCAGGGGGGTTGGACTAGATGACCCACAGAGGTCCCTTCCAACCCCTACCATTCTGTGATTCTGTGATTTTCTGGCCTAAAGACAGACTATAGCACTTTGGCCTCCAATTGTGTTACCTTAGACTACCTTATAAGCAAAAGTGTACCTTGGGTTTTTTGACAACCTCGCAACAAATTTGCGTGGTCTTTGTTTCCATTAACACAGAATAGATAACTTTTTAACAGCTGTGCAGTCTAGTATTCACAGAGCATCCAAGAATATCTTACAATGGCCATTTATGATCATTAGTAAGCCTTTCCAGTGTGCAGGATTCTAGTTTTTTGAGTTTCACATAGTATGATTGTCTTTACAGCAGTGTGGAATTGTTGAGAAGAAACAGTCTTAATAAGATGGTTTCTTTCTGTTTTTAATTCTTCAGTTCCTAACTGTGCTGAACTACGATAGCCGCGTCACCCACCGCATTTCAGTGATGGAGCAGACTCTTAGCATCATGGATAAGGTAAATCCTAAGTGAACCACTACATTTGAGAGATACATTCTTAGTTTAAGTGCAACTCCTCGCCTTCATTAGCAAGAGGTGTTTGTAAGGAATAACTGCAACTGATGTAGGCATACTAACTCTTCAGCTAACTCAAGGACTGTTGGAGCATAGCCGTAACACGTGGATGAATATATATATCCATGTATTTATTCATCTGGCTTTCAATGGTTTCTTCAACTTGTGCTGAGCTCTCTACAGAAGCAGTTCTCTAAAGTCTTTGGAAGCAGTCATCATACATTGACTGCTGCATAGATCAACCCTATGGAGAGAAAGCTACTTGTTCGGTTACTGGAATTAAATGCTTTCCTTCCTGAACATCTGAATGCAGATCTGCTTATCACTTCTTACACAGCATTCCCTATAAAAGTCACTCTTCCATTTCTAATTAAGCATTCTTCCAGTCTTCACTGCTAAAAGTTTCTCTCCAGGAGCACCAGCCTGTTCATAATATCACTCCCCCCCTATATTCAAAATAACACAGACACAACAATCTGATTTGCTGGCTCCATCATCTACTTCAACATTCAAATTACAATTACCCTTGTTTTTAAGTGATTTCACTGGATTTTATCCAGGCTGCTCTAGCTAGCATCAGCCTCCTCTTCCTCTTCAAGCTTTAATATTTACCTTGTCCCTTTACCGCCCATCTGACAGCTTCAGCACAACAACCCTTACTTCAGCAGCTCCTAGCAGCCAAGAGAGTGTTCTCAACTCACCGATTCCTTTGACTTCCTTTCCTCCCTTTGCCTTTCAAGTGTTATCTTTAATGTATCTATCTCCCTGACCCATACCTCCTTGTCTGCTACTTACATTAGAACCTCATAATAAAGCATACTGGAATACAGTGTGTGTGAAAGACACTGCACGAAGTAAAGCTGCAATGTGCTACTAGTCAAGTCAAAATACAGTACAGTTTATTGAGCTACAATGCAGTGCTTAAGATTATAGGTTTCCACCAAAAGTTTGTCTGAACAGCTTTTGTATTATCTCTTATATTTGATTCATTCATTTGGAAATGGACAGCTGCACAAGAAGAACGTGAAGAACTGTCGGAAAAGAATTAAAGAGCTGGAGAAGTGCATCAGCTTAAAAGAGCAAGCAAACTACGAGCTCTGCCTGGAGCTGAAAGAAATGCTTGTCTGCATTTCAGAGAGGAGGCATATCTTTGAGGGAGCTGGTGAGTCATAGTAATGCACTTTAAGTCACAAGCAAAAAACATTCAGAAAATATCTTTAAAGGCTAGATGGTCCTGTTCTCCACCAGCATCAGCTAAGGGGCAAGGAGTGCCTGCTTAGCGCTGTATGTGGGCAATTAGCAGTGCCCTTCCTACCACAGCAATTTAACATTGTTTACTTAAGAGCATACCTAGGGATTGTTGCTCTTGTAACCAAAGTTAATTGACTGAATTGCTGAAACTATTTAAGACAAAGTATTATAGTCATTAATACCTTCATTAGGCAACATGCTTTCATTCTTTGTCAGAACTGTTCAACCCACTTCTTCACACACATTCAAGGGAACTGAGAAAGTAACGTGAAGCTGAGAATGGTAGTCACTGTTGGGAAAACTGTAGAGACCTCTCCACTAGTAAAACAGTTACAGATTTTCAAAACAGTGGGTACTTGCTAGACACTCAAGGAAGCATGCCCAATGCCTTATTGAAATTTTTTGCTTTATTCAGTACTATAAAGACTCTTAAAGCCAACGGTGAGCCTTTTTAAAAATGTTTGCCTGTTTTGAACTTGGAATAACCCCAGGACAGGTCCAAATATAGACTATGCATCCCCTACAAGTACAGGCTAACCCTTGTATTTTGTGTTATCCAGACACACAGCGTGTTTCTGAAAAGATTGCAAAGCAGCGTTACCGAGAGATTTTGAAGCAGAAACACCTACGGGGTCTTGTCAAGGAACAGGAAGAGTTTGAAATTCTTCAGGCACAAGTTGAAAGACTGAGATTAAGAACATTCCCTCTTCTTTAAAAATCAGAGTCCAGGTAGATTTATAATACCATGGTCTTGTCTAAGAGGAAGCGCTTGGACATCTGCCTTTTCTCCCTGGACTTTTCTTTCCACAAATGATTTCTTCTGATTTCTTTAAAAGTAACTTCAGTTTGAAAGATGCATGTTTGTCTGTTTTGTACATTCTATACCTACCCTTATCACCCTTATATTTCAGCTTATGAGATGTATTTATTTCTGCTGTTTTGATTATATAAACTATGTAGGCTCATTGCAGAAAACAAAGGGTGCAAGAAATTGTAGACTGATAGAACAGGTGTATATGCGTATCCTTAGCCTGCAGTAGGCAAACTGTAGAACATTCTGAAGGTGAAGTGCTGCAAGGAATCCATGAACTTGCATCTGTTAAAATTAGTGTTTGTGGCTTTGACTTAATTTTGCTTTTTTAAATTATATTTACACCTGTGATGGCACAGGTGTAGGTTGCTGAGAGATGAACCTATGCTCTGGTATTACCAGGTGTGCTACCTGGCCCAGTCCCAAAAGCTGCAGCTGCTTATGATAGGGATGCTGCCACTGGTACAAGCACAGGAAAACCACATTTGGATGCACCTGGCCTCCTGAAACAGGTGCTGCTATCTCCCACCCCTTCGCACTGATATCCTATTCTCCTGCTAGATCTCTGCCAGGCAGTTGAGAAAGATGAAGAATCCTTGATAAAATTAACCACTCCTGAAGGAGGATCTACCTACTCAAGTGTTCTGACCAATTTTTATTTCCCTCTTCCATGGTGTATGTCGATTCTTCTCCTCCTTTTATAAATTCACATAAAATCTTAACTCATTCCCTTGTGAGAGCATTTGATACATTAGTTTAACAAAATTATACACTGGTAAGGACAACTACTTCTGTTATCATCTTGTACACCACCTGTTTTTGCTTTATCATCTCTAACTGGGGCCTGTAAGGATTCGAATTACATCCCCATTCTTCTGGCAAGGCTTTTTCCTCCCTGCTGAAACTTCCCTAGAAGCAGCAGAAATCCAAATTTGCCAAGGATCTCAGGGAAGAGAACCACCCCCTCCACCAGGTGCCATCATCTGTTTTTATTAACCTAAAGAGGCAGAAGAAAGAGTGGCTCAATACTCATAATGCAATTAGCAATAGAGGCTATTCTGCATTAATTCTCCATGGACAGCAACATTTAGTATTCTTAAGAGGAAGTTGTAGGTACAGATTTAGGTCTAATGAGCCCTATCAATGATAAAAGAATCTGTGGGATCTTCGATTTTCTTTCCGTTAAGATACGTAAGAGCCCTGGAACAGGCTGCCCAGGGAGGTTGTGGAGTCTCCTTCTCTGGAGATATTCAAGACCCGCCTGGACAAGGTCCTGTGCAGCCTG